GGGGGGGGGGGCATCTGTAATACTTTCAACAAGAAAGAAAATAAAATAAAAATAGTTATATCATATATTGTGTACCATTTAAAAGCATACAGTTTAGAGAGTTTTGCAAATGTTACCACCACTCCTGTCAAGATATAGAATTTCCATCACCCCCCCAAAAGTTTCCTCATGTCCCTTTGCAGTAAAGCCCCCAGTCCCAGTCCCAGGCCCCTGCTAATCTGCTTTCTATCACTATTGGTTAGTTTGGCCTTCGGTAGACTTTTGTATAAATGGAACCACACAGTATATACTGGCTTCTTTTACTGAGCATAATTTATGTCTGATTTTGAACAGTGCATAAACAGAATCATAATGTATGTTATGATTCTTTTGTGTCTTGAATTTTTGTTCAACATTATGCTTGTAAAATTCATCCACAAACTTGCATGTACCTATAATTCATTCATTTTTATTGCTGTATATAAAACATTGTATGACTATAGTATAATTCATTTCTCCATTCTGTTATTAATAGACAGTGGCTGTTCTATAGCTCCACTGCCGTCATGTATTGATTTTGTAAGCAGATTTTTACATCCAGCTAACTTGCTAATCCTTCTTATTAATAACAACTCCTTGGTGTGGCTCCGTGCATTGGAGTGTCACCCTGTACACCAAAGTTTCACGGGTTCGATTACTGCTCAGGGTGTGTACCCAGGCTGAAGGCTCAGTCCCAGGTCAGGGCATGTGTGGGGAGCAACCGAAGGTTTCTCTCTCACATTGATGTTTCTCTCTCTTTCTCCCTCTCCCTTCCTCTCTCTAAAACCAATGAAAACACATCCTCAGGCGAGGATTAAAATAATAATAATAATGATAATAGTAATAACAACTCCTCTGTAGATTCTTTTGAAGATTCAGAGCATATATTCATATTATCGGTGAATAATGACAACCTTTAATCCTTAATAATCTCTATTTTTTGCTTGTTTAACTGCTCTCACAAGGACTGCTAGTACAAATATTGATAGCAGGGTCCCTGCACTATTCCTGATTTCAAGGAAAAGCTTTTTAATCATTAGGCGTGATTATTAGGTCTAATGTTTACTGAAGATTTTTGTGGTTATTCCTTATCAGAATTTCTTTACAAGAATTAAGTTCTCTTTCAACCGCAGAAGTTTTAGGAGGAAAAATCATAAATTATGTAAATTTGCTAACAGTTTCAATATGATTGGAAAAGAATTTTATCATATGCTTTTTCTACAACTGTTGAGATGATCATAGGAAGTGATAGTCTATTACATTAAATTACTATTCTATTATTAAACCAGTCTTTCATTCTTGATATAAACCAATTTGGTAATACTATCTTATCCGTTACGTATTTTGTTTATTTTTGTTTACATCCAACTTCATGAGTAAATTGGGCTGTAATTCTCTTTTCTCATACTCTCCTTGTCAGGCTTCCGTTTCAAAGTTTTGCTAATCTCTTAAAACCATAGGGGAGTGTACTCGCTTTTAAAATTTCAATCTTGTGTAAGATTGGACTTATTTTTTCCGTGAATGTTTGGTAGAACTTACCAGTGAACCCATCTGAGCCAGAAATTTTCTGTGTGGGAAACTTTTGCTTACATATTTAAATTTAGGTTTTTCACTTCTATTCCTTTTTGAGTAAATTGGTAACATTTTTTCTAGGAATTGCCCTGTTTTTCTAAATTTTAAAATTTATTGGTATGAAGTTCTTCATAAAAGTTCCTATGTTAACATTTAATAGCTCTAGCATTCTGCAGTGTTCTATATACTTCGATTAAACCCACTTTGCTCATTATATTCTACAAATCTGCTGTGTTCTTGCCTTTTCTGTTGGTTGGTGCATTTGTTCACTTATTGAGATAAGTGGATTAAAATTATCCACACTATAGTTTTGTGTATTCTCTCTGAGTGTTCGAATCTGAGCTTTACATATTTAGAGGATATGTTTATTGATCATTGCATATACTTTTATATTTGTTAGATATTCTAAAGAACTGGATATATTTATCAATATGAAATCATCCTCTATCTTTAGTAGTTGTTTTGTCATAAAGTTTCTTTTTTCTGATATTAATGTAGCTGCATCAACCTTCTTTGGTAGGTAATTTTGTAAGGTATATCTTTTCTAAAACATTTACCTTAGATTTTAGATGTGTCCCCTGAAAATAGTAGCCTGACTATCTTTGCCTTTTAACTGCATTCTTTTTTTCATTTATAAATAATACAACTACTGATATATTTGGATTTAACAATATAATTTCTCATTTCTAATGCATATTCCTTATTCAGTGTTTTTTTTTCCTTTCCTTCCTTTCTTACCTTTTGTTGATCAATAGAATACTTTTATTACTTCACTTTTCCCCTACTGGTTTTCAGTTTATGCAGTTCATTTCTATTCTGTTCATGGTTAACCTAGAACTGTGTTCTCTAATACAGTAGCCACTAGTCGCATGTGGCTATTTATATTTTAATTAGTTAAAATTAAATAACATTAAAAATTTAGTACATCAGTCAGAGGAGGCACATTTCAAGGGCCCTAAAGCTGTACCCATCTAGTGGTTACCACACTGAGCAGTATAATGGGACATTTTCGTCACCTCAGGAAGCTCTATTGGAGAGAGTTGCTTCACAAAGTACAGTACACGCACAATATTCATATACATCAAAATCCAAAGTAAACCAACACCTTGACTTTCCTCCTTGATAATTCAAGGATTTTAGAACATTATATATAACTCAATTGAACACATCCCAATTTGTATATTGTGATGGCTGCATAGGTTAATTCATTAAAAAATCTCACTAGGACATATTATTCGAGTTTATACAGTTAATATTTTTTCCACGTGCCCATATTTTTTCACTTTTTTAATTCTTCATCCCTTCTATGGTAGTGATAAATTTTCTTTGTTTGCTTGCAAATATCTTTACTTTACCCTTATTCTTAAAAGACCTTTTTACTGGATGTAGTGTTCTAGGTTGTCAGGCAGTTAATTAATAAAAAATATTTTGCTAACTTTGTCATCTTTCATCAAAGTTCATCAAAATTTGCATTTTAAAAATATTGCGACTGTACATAGGCACACTGCTAGGGTTTGAGGACTGCCACAGCTCTATGCCCTAGAAACAGGGGGGCGGCCACTCCAAGCCCCCGCAGGAGGGGGCTCGGCAGAAGGGGGGCTGGGAAGAGACGCTGTCTACCGGCTCCCGCTCACTTCTGCAAACTGAACAAAACATGTCATCACATTGCCCAAGACTGAAACCACCCTCAATATTGGAAAGAAAGTGTGGGCGCCCCCCCCCTCACACACACACACACACACACACACACACACACACACACGCACACGCCTGAATGTATCGCTCCTATAATCAGGCACAGGCTCTCCTGATCTGCAGAGGGTTTGGTAAGGGTGGAGTTCCAGTACTGGTGACTTTCAGGGACAAGTGGATTGACCTCATTTTCAGAAACTGCTGCTGGGTGAGACTCCTGTTGATTGGCTGACAGTCAGAGGCATGTTCCTTGGAGTGAGTCTCTGGCTAACTTTCGGGAGTGAGTGGCTGAGGCTGTTTGGCTGACTTTCAAAGG